TAATTAATATACACTGTTATATTTGTTTCAAGTATACAGTATAGTGATTCAGCACTGCCACACATTACTCAGTGCTCATCACGGTAAGTGTACTTTTAATCCCCTTTATTTCACCCACCCTTCTACCCACCTCCACTCCAGCAACCACGTTTGTTCTCTGTATTTGTCTTTCTCTTCCTTATCCCTTTTTAAGCCTAACTAACTTAATTCCCACAGCCTCTGCATTCACAGCAAAGACCAAATCCATGAAAATGGTTTCCACTCTAGATATGTACTACAGCTGTTTTCAAGGAGCCATAATCTAGAAAGATTATTATGCTATAGGTAGGGAAAAAATCTTATTCACTAAAGCTACTTATGAACAAAAGTGAATTTTAGTGTCTCCTCAAAGAATATGAAATGACTAGATAATTAAAGCAGGACCCTGTAAGCAATATATAGACTTCTTACAAACTGGCTAATAGAGAAAATTGAGTGATCACTATCCAGACTATTAAACTGAATGTTGGAATTCTCAACTGAGACAGAGAAAAATGCACAAGACATGGCAATGCCTCATAGGGGAGTCCTGTCTTTCAGTAGCTCCAATATAAGATCCAAACTATGAAGAGTTATTCCTGAGAAGCTGCTAGATATATTTAACTTGGGAGGGCAGCAATGCAGCTCAAAACCATCCTCTCATTTAACTGAGTCGTCCTAGAAGTCCATCACAGACTCTATCAGAACAAGTCTGAATGAGACTCACCCTTTTCTCGATTTTGACCTCGGCCCCAGGGTCTGCATAGAATTCAAAGTGTAGTGTAGTTGCACTGGGTGGGTATTTCTGTGTATAAAGCACATGAAATAATCAGATACCATCTTCTCCCCAAATCTTCCTTCAAAGTCCTAACCATTTGTCCAACTCATTGTAGCAGCAGAATGAGCAGTGTAGTCAGCAGCTATAGTGCCTTCACCCCTCGTCTTAGCAGAGCTCAGATGTCCTATAACAACACAAAATCAGGAGGATGGAGCCCAGAGCTCCAAAAGCCTTCACATTTCTTATTAAGTTATCAGTTGCTCTTTCTTTCAAGAGATCAATTCTGACTGTAGCTATTTTCAAGAGGAAAAAGAGAGGCAAGTCTGCCAAGCAATAATGAATAAGAATCCAAGAAAGGACGGAGAACAAATACAAGGGTCTAGGTACTAACTTGGGAATAGAAAAGAACATTCTTATGGAAACTTTAGTGTATACCATCACCTTTTGAAATATTTTATTCAAACTATGCTTCATTAGTGTACCTTCTTAATTCTTCAAATACTCCCTTTCATACCATTCTACACCACTTCCCATGGTATCAAAATGCTTTTCTGCACAGGTAAATACCAAGTCAATATGAACCAGACCCTGACAACGAATCCTCTTTAACTCTAGAAAAGCAAAGACAAAATTAAGATGACAACAGCATGCCCATTAGAATGAATCCTTAAAAGAAACCAATAGCATGGTTGCTTCTGAGAATGGAGAATTACTGAATATAATAAAGTTATTAATTATATTTACATAACACATGCATTTTAAAAATTGATTATTGTATACAATAATTTTGAAATTGCATGCATATGTATTTTTAAAAACATGCATATGTATTACTTCCTTTTAAAGTACACATCATATTTTTCAAAGTCTCACTGATATACCAAATATCAATAAATAAAAGGATGTGCGATTTCTTAACACAGACTGGGCCCAAGACAGCATACAAACTTAGTAGAGTGTATCATACTGTTTTGACAAGGGGTAAAGAACAAGCTTGATATACAAAAGGAGGCTCAGAATTAACCAACTTTAAGACGAAAGTCATCTTCTCATAATTAGAATTCCAAACTGAATACTCTTTAAGATTTATGTAGCTTTATTAAAGAGATAATACTTACCTCCCGTATTACCCAATATTCATTCACATAACGCACACTAAAGAACGTATACCAACTAAGGGGGAAAGTAATTTGTTTTATTTTTATTTTTTTTAAAGATTTTATTTATTTATTTGACAGAGAGAGACAGTGAGAGCAGGAACACAAGCAGGGGGAGTGGGAGAGGGAGAAGCAGGCTTCCCGCTCAGCAGGGAGCCCGATGTGGGACTTGATCCCAGGACTCTGGGATCATGACCTGAGCCGAAGGCAGACGCTTAACGACTGAGCCACCCAGGCGCCTGAAAGTAATTTGTTTTAATTTGTAGTTTTCTTTGACCAGAAAAAGAACCATTCTCCCAGGGGAAAAAAGGCTTGCTAAATTCACTAAATTTCATCACAGTTATTTGTTCTATACACGACAAACTGACAAAAGAGAGCAACATCTGCTGGAAAATATGTTGCCTCTTGGCACAGAATTGTTTTTTAACAAATCCAACTGTACCTTGTGGTTCCAAAACAACGTATCAAAGCAGAAGGGAGGATGGCTTAACCTTCTAACCTAAGCATGGATGAAAGGTATGAACAGGACAGGGCATGAGGAGTAAACATGGAAAACACACAGAACATTTTAAGTTCTCAATAACCTTCATGGCAGGACTGTTCCCCAAGCATCCATTCTTAAAAACCATACCATACTGCCCAGAATTCCAATAGTTTCAGTGAGAGAATACAAGCAAATACCCTTTCTGGGATTTTTCAACACTTTCAAACGGATGCACCAAATACAGCTTCCTACTCAAGAGCTGGATATGAACATATACTGTGTTTCTGAGATTGTTCCTACTGTCAGCACATTGAGGGCCCAAGCATTTCTAGACAAGATGTGCTATGTCTCAATTGATCTCAGGTTCCTCAAAGGTCCTGATGTGAAGTGGCAACTTAATATACCATATATTCATTGTAAAGTAAGGCTCAAAAAGAGACCACACATAGCTCTGCCAAGAGATACCCATATCCCAGAGTTACTTACCATCATATGCAAGTCTCTGCAACATTCTGCAAGTCCAAAGCCATTCTCCTTTCCACCCCAGCTCTAAAAAAGGAAAAAGGCAGTGTTAAAATAGTGCTTGAAGTAGCCCTGTGTATAAAATATTTAAGAGTATGTGGCTCCTTGGAATACAGTGTTGACATTGAGAAGACATCCACTGTGAAAGTCCAACAAGGAGAGGAAGCAAACAGAAGCAAGGACTTAAGACTCAAGGTCTGCCTAAAGGCGATTTCTCCAATGAGATCAATTTCACTGTTTTGTGAGGATGCTACTGGGAAGAACATAAGCAACTATAAGCAATTATACATGCCTTCAGTCATACGTGCTGACAGGTCAGTCTTATCCCATCAGGCCTTCAGTACTATATTATGCTTTCCATGCTCTCAGCCTGTTCACCTTCCTCACTACTGTGAGGAATCACATGCTCTACAGTTCCTTTTTGATATGAACCAAGCTGCAAAGCAGAAGACTCTATATTGCCTACTCCTACTATATTCTGCCATCACAAAGTCTAAACACTCATCAAGTACTAGCCCCTAAGGTAATGGGGGAAAATGACTAAATTGTGCACTATTACTGGCCTCCGAATCCAAACCTCCAGCCATATATTCTTACTTAATAAACTCACTTGCATTTTCAACAGTGTTTGAATCATTTTTGCCTGATTCGGAATGCTCCCAAGGGTGGGGTGAACGTTTGCTGAAAACATTAAAAAGCAAATGCATTAATCCCTGCTTCCTGGGACAAGGGCGAAACAATAGACAAACTGGAAAGTTTGGGGGGAAATGGCTGGGGAGTGAGATGCTTTGGAGAATAAGGGCTTGGAAAAGTTCCACAGACTCCTGGGAAATCTAGAAGGCCACATGTATGCCCAAGGTTAAACACATTCTCAGAAAAGACCCGAGAAGGCCCCAAGTTCCACACGCCTGGGTGATCATCAGGCTCTGTGCAAGTCACAAGTGAAGGCTAAGGCATAGTTGTAAACATCCTGGTTGAGTAGTGAAGATATGAGTATTGCCACTGAACATACACACAAAACCTGCCTGCAAAGACTGGGGGAGTATGTATTTTCTTGTTTAGGAGTTTAAAGGAAATCACTAGCCAACCACTAAGCTAAGAGCATTAATGATCACATAATTATGAAATCAGTTCAGAAAAGTCTAAAGAAACAACAACTGGGTGCCTGGGTGGCTCAGTTGGTTAAGTGACTGTCTTCGGCTCAGGTCATGATCCCAGGGTCCTGGGATCGAGTCCCACATCGGGCTTCCCTTGCTCTTTGGGGAGCCTGCTTCTCCTCCTCCCTCTGCCTGCCACTCTCCCTGCTTGTGCTCTCTGTCAAATAAAATCTTTAAAAGGTACAAACTTAAAAAAAAGTAAAATAAAGAAACAACAAACCATAACAATAAACCCTGGGGAAGAGTGAGAATTTGATTTCCAGAGCTGCCACATTATAATATTAAAAATGTCCATTATTCAAGAAAAAAAACTATGAGGTATACAAAGAAACAAGACACTATGAAACACACAAAGGAAAAAAAAATTACAGCAACATGAGCATGAGCAGTGATGTCAGCATCATGGCCAAATAAGACATATCTCACTGCCCCTATGCAACAATTTGGCATCCATCCATGGACAAAAGTGCCTTTGTTGGAGTTGGGGAACCTAGCCCCATAAGCCAAAGGATGGGGGGGTAGTCTCACCCACCTGCGTATTGGGTAATAGACCTGCGTACTGGTCTCAGCTACAGAACCTGCAGTGGCCTATGTGAACCAGCTACAGCCACTCTGAGGAGCCCCAGGAGAACATGGTCTTCAAGAGTCACCCATGGGCAAAGCTACCATCTGTGGGATTATGACTGAACACCTCCTAAATCAGAATCCCACCCAGGCAGAACGACATAGCAGTGCCACGGGGCCTCAGATGGCCTCAGATAGCCGGTCCCCCACCGTTCCCTGCTGCGTGTCAGGACCAGGGTCCAGTGCTCAGAGCCCCTTGTCCCGGGAAATGGGGTGCGGCCGGAAAGGGGGCCGACCTCTCACCTGTCACGCAATGCACGTTCGTGGGGAACCTGGTGCTAAACCATTTGTAGACGACCTGCTTCTGGGTCAGGGTTTTGTACATAGCAGAGCAGCACCCTCACTGTGATCTACTGAAAGTCAGCCCTCGATACAAGGGTTGGTAAAAACAAACAAAAAAAGCAATCACCCATGGATGATAAAGTTCAAAGGACAAATACAGTAAAAATGGTAAGAGCTAAAATAATTTGTTAATGAATATACAATTTAAAAAGAGGTAAACTGAACATTAAAAACATAAAATGAGGTTGGGGGGAGTAAAAGGGTAGAGTATTTGTGTGTGATCAAAGTTGTTATCAGCTTAAAAAAGACTTAGCTGTAAGATATTTTATGTAGGCTCATGGTAACCACAAAGCAAAAACGTAGATTAGATACGAAAAAGATAAACAGAAAGGAATCAAAGCATACTACTATGGAAAACCATCAATTCACAAAGGAAGGCAGGGAGAGAGGAAGAAAGGACAAGGAAAATATAAAACTGCCATAAAACAATAAGATGGCATCACTAAGTCCTCGCCTATCAATAATTACTCTAAATGTAGATGTATTGATTTTCCAATTAAAAGGCATGGAGTGGCTGGATAGATTAGAAAAACAAGACCCAATTAAGAAATGGGCAGAAGACATGAACAGACATTTCTCCAAGGACATCCAAATGGCCAAAGACACATGAAAAACTGCTCAACATCACTTGGCACCAGGGAAATCCAAATCAAAACCACAATGAAATACCACCCTCATACCAGCCAGAATGGCTAAAATTAACGCATCAGGAAACGATGTTGGTGAGGATGTGGAGAAAGGGGAACCCTCCTACACTGTTGGTGGGAATGCAAGCTGGTGCAGCCACTCTAGAAAACAGTATGGAGGTTCCTCAAAAAGTTTAAAATAGAGCTACCCTATGACCCAACAATTGCACTACCGGGTATTTACCCCAAAGATACAAATGTAGTGATCCGAAAGGGTACCTGCACCCCAATGTATAGCAGCAATGCCCATAATAGCCAAACTATGGAAAGAGCCCAGATGTCCATTGACAGATGAATGGATAAAGAAGATGTGGTATATAAATATATATATACACAACGGAATATTATGCAGCCATCAAAAAATGAAATATTACCATTTGCAACAACATGGATAGAACTAGGGGGTATTATGCTAAGTGAAATAAGTCAATCAGAGAAAGACAATTATCATATGATCTCACTGATACATGGAATTTAAGAAACAAGGCAGAGGATTACAGGGGAAGAAAGGAAAAAATGAAACGACAAAACCAGAGAAGGAGACAAACCATAAGACTCTTAATCATAGGAAACAGAGGGTTGCTAGAGGGGAGGCAGGTGGAGGGATGGGGTAACTGGGTGGTGGGACATTGGGGAGGGTATGTGTTGTAATTACACTGGGTATTATATGAGACTGATGAATTACAGACCTGTACCCCAGAAACAAATACATTATATGTTAATTAATTGAATTTAAATAAAATTTAAACAAACAAACAAGACCCAGGAGCTTACATGGACTCACTTCAGCTTTAAGGACACATGTAGACTCAAAGTGAAGGGATGGAAAAAGATATTCTATGCAATAGAAATGAAAGGAGAGCATGGGTAGCTATACTAGTATCAGACAAAATACACTCTTACTCAAAACGTGTAACAAGAGACAAAGAAGGTCATTATATAATGATAAAGGAGTTAATCCATAACAATTGTAAATTATATGCACACAATACTGGAGCACCTAAATACATTAAAAGCAAATACTAACAGATCTGAAGGGAGAAACAGATAACAATACATAATGATAGGGGATGTCAACATCCTACTTTCAACAATGGATAGATTGTCCCGACAGAATATAAGGAAATTCTGAATTTAAACTATACTTTTTAAAGTTTTTATTTAAATTCCAGTTAATATACAGTGTGATATTAGTTTCAGGTGTACAATATAGTGATTCAACACTTCCACCGAACAGCCGGTGCTCATCACAAGTGTACTCCTTAATCCCCATCACCTATTTAACCCATCCCCCCATTACCTCCCCCCTGGTAACATCAGTTTGTTCTCTATAGATAAGAGTGTATTTCTTGGTTTGCCTATCTTTTCCCTTTATTTGTTTTGTTTCTTAAATTCCACATAAGTGAAATCATATGGTACTTGTCTTTCTCTGACTTATTTTGCTTAGCATACTTTCTAGCTCCATCCATATTGTTGCAAATGGCAACCTACCAGGAATATACAGATCATTTCACTGAACAGAATACACACCCTTCTCAAATGTACATAAAACATTCTCCCGCCTAGATTACATAGTAAGTTACAAAACAAGTCTTAGCAAATTTAAGAGACTGAAATTATACCAAGTATCTTTCCTAACCACAATGGTATAAAACTAGAAATCAATAATAGAAGGAAAACTGGAAAATTCACAATATGTGGAAACTAAACAATACACTCCTGAAGAACCAATGAATCAAAAAAAAAAAAAGAAATCAAAAGGGAAATTTAAAAATATCAGGACAAAAGACAATGGAAACACAACATATCAAAACTTATGGGATGTACCAAAAGTAGTTCTGAGAAGTTTATCGGGATAAATGACTATGGTAAGAAACAAGAAAGATCTCGGGGCGCCTGGGTGGCTCAGTCGGTTAAGCGGTTGCCTTCGGCTCAGGTCATGATCCCAGGGTCCTGGGATCGAGTCCCACATCGGGCTCCTTGCTCAGCGGAGAGCCTGCTTCTCCCTCTCCCTCTGCCTGCCTGCCTGCCGCTCCCCCGCTTATGCTCTATCTCCCTCTCTCTGTGTCAAATAAATAAATAAAATCTTAAAAAAAAAAAACAAGAAAGATCTCGAATACAAAACCTAACTTTATAATTCAAGGATACAAAAGAACAAACTAATCCCAAAATTAGTAGAAGGAAGGAAATAACAATGATCACAGCAGAAATAAATGAAATAGAGACCAAAAAAAAAAAATAGAAAAGCTCAATAAAAGTAAAAGTGGGTTTTTTGGAAAAGATGAACTAAATAGATGAAATTTTAGCTAGAAATGAGGAGACATTACAAATGACATCACAGAGATATAAAGGATTAAGAGACTACCTGTGATTTCACTTATACGTGGAATTTAAGAAACAAAACAAAGAAAAAAAGGAGAGAGACACAAACCAAGAAACAGACTCTTCAGTATAGAGAACAAACTGATGGTTACTGATGGGGAGGTGGGGAGGGAGATGGGTGAAATGGGTGGTAGGGTTTAAGAATACACTTATGATGAGCACTGACTAATGTAAAGAATTGTTGAATCACTATACTGCATTCCTAAAACTAATATAACACTGTATGTTAACTATAGTGGAATTTAAATAAAAAAAAATAATAAAAAGGAAACTACATATGAACAAATTGCCAACATATTGGATGACATAGAAGAATTGGATAAATTCCTACAATATCAATAATGGATAATGGAGAAATAGAAAATCTGAACAGACCAATAATGAGTAAGAAGATTAAATCAGTAATCAAAACATACCCAATACAGGAAAATATGCATAGGACCAAATGGTTTTCCTGGCACATTCACCAAACATTTAAAGAATTAACACCAATCCTTCTCAAATTCTTACCAAAAAGTTGAAGAGGCCAGACTTCCAAACTCAACATGTTAAGAGGCCAAAATTACCCTGATAGCAAAGCCAGATAAGGACACCACAAGAAAACTACAGGCCATCATCCCTGATAAGTGAAGATGCAAAAACTATCATCAAAATACTAGCAAACCAAATTGAAACAGCACATTAAAATGATCATACACAGGGCGCCTGGGTGGCTCAGTTGGTTAAGCGACTGCGTTCGGCTCAGGTCATGATCCTGGAGTCCCGGGATCGAGTCCTGCATCAGGCTCCCTGCTCAGCAGGGAGTCTGCTTCTCCCTCTGACCCTCTTCCCTCTCGTGCTATCTCTCATTCTCTCTCAAATAAATAAATAAAATCTTTAAAAAAAAATAAAATGATCATACACAATTAACAAGTGGGATTAATCCTTGGGATGCAATCATTGTTCAACATATACAAGCCAATAAATATGATATACCACATTAACAGAGTTAAAGACAAAAATCATATGATGTCAACAGATGCTGAAAAAACATTTGACAAAAAGTCAATACCCTTTCATGATAAAAACTCAAAAATGAGGTATAGAAGGAAAAACAGCTCAACGTTTTAATAAAGGCCATATGTGACAAGTCCATCTCTAACATCATACTCAAATGGTGAAAAGACGAAAGCTCTCCCTCTAAGATCCTGAACAAGACAAGGGTACCCACTCTTAATACTCCTATTCAATATAATACTGGAAGTCCTAGCCAGGACAATTAGGCAAGAAAAAAAAAAAGGCATCCACTTGAGAAAGAAGTAAAACTGTCTTCATTTACAAATGATAGGATCTTATGTACTAAAAAAAAAAAAAAACCCTAAAAACCCCACCAAAAAACTGTTAGAACTAAATCAGTCACATTTCTATGCATTAACAATAAACTACATGAAAAAGAAATTAAGAAAACAATCCTGGGGCGCCTGAGTGGCTCCGCTGGTTAAACGTCCAGCTCTTAATTTCAGCTCAGGTCATGATCTCAGGGTTGTGAGATTGAGCCCTAGGGCGGCTCCGTGCTGGGTGTGTAGCCGGCTTAGGATTCTCTCTCTCCCTCTCCCTCTGCCCCTCCCCACCCCACCCTTCCTGCTCTCTCTCAAAAAAAGTTAAAAAAAGAAAACAATCCCATTTATAGTAGCACCAGAAACAGTAAAATACTTAGAGATAAATTTAACCAAGGTGAAAGACCTGTACATTGAAAACTATAAAACACTGATGAAAGAAATTAAAGACACAAATGGAGGGGCGCCTGGGTGGCTCAGTTGGTTAAGTGACTGCCTTCGGCTCAGGTCATGATCCTGGAGTCCCGGGATCGAGTCCCACATCGGGCTCCCTGCTCGGCGGGGAGTCTGCTTCTCCCTCTG